GGCGGAGAAATCAAATTGTTCCCGCCTCCTGTTTTCAAAGGTGAACATGAGAGATGGGAAGATTGGTCTTGGCAATTGAAAGCCTATGTTGCATTGTACAAACCAGTTGCCCAAGAATTGATGACTAGAGTTGAAGGATCTGCTTCTGCGATTGATGACATCATTCTCCAGCAAGAAGAAAACAATTCTTATCCTTCTACATTGGCACACGTGCAAAGATTGCAAACAACGCTGTTGTGTAGAACCGAGCCAGTGTCACATCACAGACAAGATGTTTTTGTTTAGAACAAAGCCAACGTCACATCAGTGAGTTCCAGGAGAGCCCTTGGAGCCAGCCCCGGCATATTTGCAAGAAGTTGACTTTCATGCATCACATGAAGCAGGGTGTTTTGGGTGGCTTTTGTTGAGTGCATATTATGTGGGCCCTCTTGCGGATATCTGAATATCTTGGAACCAGTGAATGTTGCAGGACACCAACAACACCCAAATTCACATGATGTGTTTGGTTTGGTGCATTCTGATCGCCGCATTTGGACTGCAAGGGCGTTGACGTGTGCTGTGTTCTGTGACCACGGAATTGCGATGTTGTGAAGCCACGGAATTGCGATGTTGCGAAGCTGTGTGCACCTTGAAACCTCTTCGAATGCACTCTCTGAAATGAAGGCAGAGTATTAAGATAGGCGACTTCAGCACAAAGCGGCTGCATATTTCGCTGCTATAAAGCTTCTGCCTGCGCGCCTCCCGACCATGGCCGCGGGCATGTCGTTGCAGATCCCTGTGCTGCCGTGGCCCGAGACATTGCGCCGCAGAGACCGCGCAAAGTAGCAGTGCTACTCAGTGCAGAGTCCGACGCCCACAGTTGTGGGACACGGCGTGTCACGCGGAGAGGTGGACAGATGCTGCCCTGAAGGGGCCAGCAAGGAGCTGTGCACTGTGGCCTTCGACAGGGGGCGCGACGGCCGACATGCAACGCCTTTTTTGGCACAGGACACGGCCGGGGGCAGGAGAGCTTCCCCTGGCCTCCGGTGCGAGCGGCGGGAGGAGGTCTTTTGCGAGCCTGCGCGAGGCTCAACCCGCGAGGCTGAGCCGGAACGGGCCGGAATGCAGTGCTCCGCATGGCTTTTGGTGTCTCTGAGGCGCCCAGGCCTCGGCTGCCTCGTGACCGGCCTGAGCCTCCTACGAAGGAGAGTGCAAAGTGCGGAGTTGGACGAGAGCTTTCTGTCTTTTGGAGGAAGCGGCAGGCACATCAACGGGGGGGGGCCCCCAGTAAGCTCTGCCTGCCTGCCTCTCTCTCTCTCTCTGCTCATGTCACTCTGCCTGCCTCGCTGCATCTCTCGCTTTCGCTTCTTTTGTGGAGAGGCCAGGGCCCGACTCTGGCCGGCGAGGTGGGGGGAGCCCCACGCGGTCAGAGTTGCGACCTATGCGGCGCGCGCACAGGCGCCTGGGTCCGGTCGCGGGCGTTGCGGGCGTCTCAACGGCTCGCGGCGCGGGGGATTTCGAGTCGAGGGCTCAAAGGCTCGACAAAACTCGCAGAACAGCCAGTGCTGCCAGTGCTGTCGCAATCGCAAGGTACCGGATAAACCTCGAGGGCCTGGTCGCCCTTTGCAAGCGCCGCGGTTTCGTCTTCCCCTCCGGCGAGGTGCGGAAGGCCAATCCAGAGCCATCTTTAGGCCGTGCCTTTCAGATCTACGGGGGATACAACGGCTTCTTCGACTACGGGCCACTGGGCGCCGAGCTGAAGAACAACTTGAAGAAACTTTGGTGGCGCAGGAGAGTGTATAGCATCAGAGGCCAAAGCTTCCCACACAGGGGCCAAAGGAGTTGAGATTTTGGTGAGGATGGTGCACGCTCGGGACGACGTCGTTGGCCTAGACAGCTCCATCGTGACCACGCCTTTAGTGCACAAGGCCTCGGGCCACGCAGGAGCCTGAGCTTATTGGGGGTGCGGCGACCGCGTGGGGATGTGGTGCGCCTTGTTTGGGACCGAGGTGGAGAACTTCTCGGACCCCATGGTCGATTGCAGGGAAAGCAAGCAGAGGCGGGGAAGGAGGGTGGTAGAGTTCTGCTATAGCATGCTCTTCGCTGCCCTTGAAAGGTTCCGGGCTGACCAGCTGATGTGGGCCAAAGTGGAGGAGGCACAGGGGAGCAGGCAGGTGTGGCGGGGTTTGTAGGTTTAAACGGATCTCCGAGGAGGGCGAGGGCGAGTGCCTGGGCTACGTCTCCATGGCCCAGCGCCCAAAACCACCGCTTTTGCACAACGTTCACCACGTTTCGCTTCCTCGGCCGAGGTCGAGGACGGCAACGTGGAGGCGTCCCTCCAGAAAGCGGCGAAGAAGCTCCAGAAGAAGGCGACTGCTGGGAGAGGCTGCGCTTCGCTGCAGCTTGTCGCTCTCTTCTCTCTTCTCGTTCTCGTTCTCTTGGCTCTGAAGGGAAGGGTAGCAGGGAGATTGGGAGACTCGGCCGGAAGTCCGATGGGCGCACGGAGCCAAGTGCAGCTCCGCAGCAGCTCCGCAGCATCAATTCGGCTGCCCAAGGCCATTGGCTGCCGCTGCAACGACGGCAGGGGCCCACACTTGTCCGATCCGAGAGCGGTCTGCGCCGGGTAGCGATTCGAAGAGGCTTGAGGGCTGCTGGGGTTAGCGCGGAAGTTGCAGGTGCTTACAGCGTTGTGGAACAGTACCAGTTGCTCCTGCCGACAACATGTACCAACACATCGGACTACTGTGCTCATATACTGTCCTATCCTAGATGAACAGAGATTGAGTTCGAGTTGCTTCATTATGGGTTGGGAGGCTGCAGTTTCTATCGGGCTGCGCGGCCATGCCAAGGTGCCGATGCCACGACCGAGGCAACTGCAGAGGATGACGTGGCCGCGGGCTTTACAGAGGAACGCGGGTTAGAAGCTTCTAAAGTGCTGTTCTGTGCTGTATACTGTGCCGACGTTGTGAGGTTCCGATGAGTGCCATTGGTGAGCCGAAGGTGGTTCAGAAGGCGCGCGCGCGGGCGCCCGCGGAGGGAGAGAGATATCAGACATCGTCTTGCGGTGCTCTGGGCAGGACCGGCAGAAGTTGGAGGATGCTCGGAAGAAGCTGGGCTCCTGCGCCAAAGCCTTGCGAGTCGGCGGCCTCATCGCCCCACCCCCCCCAGAAAAACTACAGCCCCGCGCAGCCTTCGGCGCAGGCGCGGATGGCCAAGGAGCAGGTGGAAGTCTGGAAGAAGGCCGCCGGCCCGGCTCCGGCCAGACCTCTTCGAATCAGCGGGAGAGGGAGATTTTGAGTCGGAATTTGTTTGATTTCTTCGAGGCAGAAGCTGAGTTCAGCGTGCAGAAGATGATCTGGCAGAGCCTCAGCCACGACCCAAGGCCGAAGGTCAGCCATGCGCCTAAGCTGCGAGCTGCGATGGTTTTTGCTGAGGCTTGCAGCGAGGGGCCAAGCACCAGGGCACGGCGGCCATGATCGAGTCAGCGGCTGAAGTCAGAAGACGTCTCTCGCGGATGCGCGGACGTCGTCGTCGCGGCTTCTCCTCAGGTCCAAGCTGGAGTTTGCGGTGCAGACGCACACCAAGGACCTGGCTGCAGCAGTCGCCGGAGCCTCGAAAGGCTGGCAACTGCCTTGTGACCGAAGAAAAAACGACGGCCCAGGAAGCCCTGGACCTCTGCTTGGAGCGAAACCAAGGCAGTTGCTGTGCAGCAGATGCGAGAGAGAGAGAGAGAGAGAGAGAGAGAGAGGAGTGCAGAGCCGAGCCGACGTCTGCAGAGGCCTCGACTTGCTGGGCGTGGCGATGCTCGAGTCCATCGAGGCGCGCGCCTCCCGTCACTTCCGACACACACTTCCGACACACTTGCGAGACGCAGAGACCCGTCCGCAGCTCCCGCCGCAGCTGCTCTCAGGGCATCAAGGCCGCGGCGCTCCACGCCGACGCGCGGCAGGAGCTCGCGAAGATGCTGGAGAAGGCCGCCGAGGACGGAGCCCCCGGCCGCGCCCGCCGCGGCCGCCGCCGCTCGCTTTTTTTTTGCTGTCACTTCTTTGCGAAAGCGCGCTTTCGCACAGAGAACGTGCTTGTTCTCGCAGCCTGAACCGAGAAATCAGATCGTCAAGCTCTTTGATGCAATAACCTCGCGCCTTCAGCTGCTGCTTGAAGAAGCTGAGACTTCTTTCAACGTCAGAAACAAGCTTGTTCCGGCAAAATACTGAGAGTGACATCAAGGAAGTTGACTGTACCACTCCCGCCCAAGTCAAAACAAAGAGAGTCATGCCAGCTGTTAGCATAATCCAACAAAGCATCCGGAGCACCCGCCCAAAACAACAGCAGATCGTCGATATATCTTCTCAACAACTGCAGCTGGGCACCACAGCGCTCCTCCAAGAAGTCGAAATGCCATAAATACAGATTTGCAAGAATGCTAGCAACCGATAAGCTCGTGGGAATGCCGTCTTGAGATTCAAAGAACTCTCCTTTCCAAGTAACAACCGAAGCATCACGGACCAGTTCCAGAATCCGCAGGATGAAAGTACAGAAGCTGTAATTGTGCACTTTCTGGCGAAGAATGAGCATTCATGGTACATGACGTACACTCTTTCCAATGCAGCTTTGCGAACTCACGGCTTGCACATCCCTTAGTGCTCGAGCGCAACAGAAATTTTCGGGTCCGGGGGAAACTTGCCATGGACATACAGTCCTTGAGTACCTCTGACCTGCTGGCGCTCGCTCTTCAGGTGCTCCAGGAGCTGGGTAATCGGCTAGAGCATTCCGAAAGGGCTCGAGGAAGTTCCGAGGGGAACGAAGGGCCGGCTGACGAAGCAGAGCCCGCTCTCTTGGTCCCTGACCATTGCGGATATCGCTGTACATTCTGCCAGAATCCCTGCTCCAGGTCTGACCCAGGGCATCGTCACCACAAATGCAGGCAGCATCGCCGGTGGTGAGCCCAATGGAAGGCTCCGGGGATGAGTTTGGAGTTTTCGACGAGCCGGATTTTGGTGGGAGCGAGGGCGAACACCCGTTCCCGCCCTTGCCTCCGGTCGTTCCAAAGACGCGGCCAGCACAGCTGCCACCTTTCTTGAGAAGTGATTCTGCGAGTTTGGCGAGCCACCCTTCAACGTCTGACTTTCTGTCGAACCTCATGGCTGGGCAGCCTGTGGTTTCCAAGCCCCAGCTCCCGTGGGAACGAGGGCCGATGGCTAGGGTCTTTGGAATGGATAAGCCGAAGCCGCTGCAGCCCACCCGTGTAGGTGTGAAGGATTTTCATCTGAAGACCATTATGGCGCCTCCGCAAGTGCAGGGGCCGAAGGCTGGGCACGAGTTTGGTGCAATGAGGGCGTATTACGCCACCCGCATCAAAACTGATGACGAGCTTCGCTTCAAAGCCCTTCAGCGCTTCCGAGTTCTTCTGATCTCGGAGCCAACGGCGAGCGTTCTGGGCGATACCTTGTGGGAAGTTTCTTCGCAGATGGGCGGCGACAATGAAGCCTCCTCAGTGGTGGTGGATGCCTTTGCAGGGCGAGCGACTGGAACACTAGTGAAGTACTCCGCTGCTTACTGGAGGTACGCAACCTGGGTTACCACCAACCGGGTAGGTACCCCCCTTCGGCTCTCCGAGACCTTGGTGTACAGGTACATCTGCCATCTACGGGATAGCAAGTGTGGAGCGACAGCAGCTTCTACTTTCCTGCAGTCTGTCAGTTACCTATACAAGGTGGCCAGGGTCAAGGAACCAAGCGTGGACTTCCTCCTGTCTTCGAGGGTGAGAGGGGCTGCAAGGTCCATGTTCGAAGGCAAACGGTGCCTGAGACAGGCACCTCCGCTCACCGTTGACATGGTTCGAGTCCTTGAGCAGACTGCTTGCCAGAGGGATGGCGAGTACTTGACCCTGGTGGCTGGGCACCTCTGCTTCTGCCTTTACGCGTGCTGCAGGTTCGGCGATTCGCAAGCTCTGGAAAACGTGCAGGTTACTGAAGGAGGGCCAATTGTTTTGGTTGAGACTTCAACTCGATC